GTGGGGCATCCTGGGCTAGTGGAGGGTGTCCCTGCCCATGGCAGGGGGTGGCACTGGATGGGCTGGGAGGTCCCTGCCCACCGTGTGATGCCATGGGCCCGGTGCAGTCACCATTGCCTGTCTAACCTCTTGTGTTAACTGGCTTTTGCCCACTAAGTAAAAGGAAGTTTGTGCTGGATTAATTGGGTTTGATCTTCTCAAGCTTCCTTTAAGCCAAGGACGATGAAAGTTTAGGGCTGCGGCTTGTTGTGGGGCTAGTCCCAAAGCTGAAGTCAAAGAAACTCTTTCCACGGATTCCTGTGGGCGCACAGTGGCAAACACGGCTCTCGGCCACCCCAGCATCTCCTGGGGTTTGTGCAGGGTGTGAAGGTCGTGGCTCAGCCCCGTTGATGCTGCCCGGTGGGACGCAGCCGTGTGCCTGTGCAGAGCTGGGCTGCAGCTGCAACCCCGACCCAAAGCCGGGAGAGGAACGGCACCCAGGCCGGTGTGTGACGAGCCAGCGCTTCGCCCTGCCACCCCACCTCCATGGAGTGCCCAGAGGAGACAGGGAGGAGAAGCTGGTCACAGGTCCAGACAGCGATGCTGCGGACAGTCCTCAGCCTTCCAGGAGACCAGCCCAAAACCTTGGGTTTAATTACAGTAGAGCTGGGAGGCGTGGGAAAGCAGGCGAGAGCAGAGTCCAGGCTTCTTTTGTTTTGTTTTGTTTTGTTTTTCTTTCTTTAGTTTAGTTTCATCGCCCCACCTCTCTTCTTGTATTGAGGAAAATAAGGAACTGACTGAGATATCCCCATGCTGAGGTCTGCGGATGGCCGTGCTGGGGGGTAGGGAGCTGCCGGGAGAGTCACCGAGCGGCTTCCCTGGCGCTGGGCTCTCTCAGCCATGGTCTCCTCTTCTCTCCCTCTTCCTTGTCTCCCAGTGCCCATCCCCTCGAAGGCCAACGGCACCACCATTTCCACCCTGTCCATGAACAAAGACGGCCTGATCGGAGGCGTGACGAATCCCAACGAGGTCTTCTGCTCCGTGCCTGGCCGCCTCTCTCTTCTCAGCTCCACCTCCAAGTACAAGGTGACCGTCGGGGAGGTGCAGAGAAGGCTCTCGCCCCCCGAGTGTCTCAACGCTTCTCTCCTCGGAGGAGTCCTCCGCAGGTGAGCTGCTCCCGAGAGCCCTGCCGCAGCCCGGGGCTGAAATGCAGGGGGGCAATGCCAAAGTAAGCTTTGTGTTCAGCACCAGCTCTCACCTCTCAGGTTAACGTAGACGAGAAATTCTGGTGTGTGGTATATTGGGGAACAGCATTTTTGTTGCTTTTTCTTCTTTCCTTTCAACCATAAAAGTTTAAACTGAGATTACAGTTATTTTAACATTAATTACATTATCATTTTTTCCCCCTGCTTGTTTTCTCTTTTCAGAGCAAAATCAAAAAATGGGGGTCGGTGTCTAAGGGAAAGGTTAGAGAAAATCGGACTAAATCTACCTGCAGGAAGGCGCAAAGCTGCCAACGTCACCCTGCTGACATCCCTCGTGGAAGGTAAGAGCCGCTCTCCACTCCCGCAGAGGATGGGAGTGCCGAAACTTCCATACCCTTCATTTGCAGCTTTCCACAAATGCGAACACTTAAATCAAAGTATGCAGCGGTCACCACCGCCTGCGACTGGAAACATCCCCGCCTGAGTCTCCATGCTGATTCAAGCATGTCTGCCTTCCCAAACTCGGACATTTCTGTCGGACCAGTCGGAGCCCTTTAGGAACAGGCACCCACGGCCCGCGCGGGGCCGCGAGCTTCCTTCCGCCTGCGTCTAAACGCACCGTTCACTTCTGCGAACCGGTTCTAACAATCCGCGTCCTGCCCTCCTCCCCCCGGGACAGGTGAGACGTCGCGGCGATGCCGCACGGTTCTGAGCTCTCGCAGGCGGAGGTGACGTTTGCGGTAGCCGTCCTCGGAGCGTTAAGGGCTGGCTATGGAAAAGGTGCTGCCTGCCCTGCCGTGTGAGCTGCCCCTGCTTACAGCCCCTTGTTTATTTGCTCCCCTCCTACTTTTTTTTTGCGCTACGGTGATGATGTCGCCACTGCATCTTGGGAGAAAAGGACACGGGATGCAAACAAATGCAATGACAGCTCTGACTCCCTTCGAGCTTTGGAATCCATTGTGTTTGTGCCCAGCGTGTTGGAGGCAGCTGCCCGCGGTTTCTGAATAGAAAATCATCTCCATTGTTGCCAGCAAATTAAATGACCCGCTTCATTAGGCGGAGGTTGTTACTGAGGGCAGTTGGTTCGTGCTGAATGAAAGGCTGATTTCCATTAAAAGAAAAGAAAGAAAAGAATGAAAGAAAGAAAGGAAGGAAGAAACGTACATTTTGATTTCAGGTGGCTGCTGATGTTGTGGTTACTGCTTACCAGCTCATAGTAAATAAAAGAGCGGTGCCATGTGTGCTCGATGGATACAATTTCCTCCTGCACATAAGCGTTAGGGTACCGGGAGCTGTTTCACCCAGAGGAAGGTGCTATTGCATTGTCATTACTCAGCAGACAGAAACTGCCTTGTGCCCCTGTGCCCCAGGCACCCTCTTTCTTGGACATTTGCTGTCGTGGTGTAATTTGTTTTCTCCCCTCTGCCTTCCCAATGTCTGCTCATTTAAAAAAAATACTGGGGGTTTTTTGAGTGCTAGCGATATACTTTTTCCTACATCGGCCCGCAGCTGTTCATATAGATGGGGGACTACGGGTGCCGGGGAACCCAGGGAGCACCACGAGGTGCCTTGGGGAGCCCTGGCCGCGTACACCGCATACTCCTGCTCCGTGGGAGTAGCTCCAGCGAGGACCCAGAGGAGCAGCAGGGCTATAGTTCGACTTCAGAAACATCCCTGAGCTCCCGGGAAGAGGCGTGCGTTCAGACAGGCACCTGTAGCCGTCTGCTGCTGAGGGCTCCTGCCCCCCCAGGCTCTCCTCCAGCCCCCCCCGGGCTCCGACACCGCTGTCTGACTCCTTGTCCCCTCCGCTGAAACCTCTCTAAGCCAGCAGCCAAATTGCCTTTAAAACACTGGGTTAACGTAGCCACTCACACACACTCGCGGAGGAGCTAAATCCTGGCTCCAGCCTTGCTCTCACCATGAGGTCACACAGCCCTTTTTATTGCCACAATAACTGGTTTTCAGCAGCTGTTACCTTCTGATTGTTTTTTAACATTCAGACGCCTGCAGTTCCTATTCTCTAGGTTTACCTTATTTGCTCCTTCTTTGGAGGAGGAGGAGATAAAGTGGAAAGTATTCTCGTTCTGTGGGAAGCACGGACACTTTCCCCAGAACGTGGCTTCACAGACCGAGCTCTGGGAGCTGGGGAGACCGTGATGGGATGTAGGTTAATGCTGTTAGGATGGATGGCCTAATACATGTGAGCAGCAGGGGGGCAACTCAAATTAGCTCTGCCTGCCCGACCGGGATTTCGGGTGTTGGGCATGATCAATTGCCATCAGCTCTGATTATTTCCACGGGGACGCCTGGAGATGGATCAATTCCATCAATGGGTGGGCATTTCCACGGGGTGATGGATAGGCTGCCCGCGCGTCCAGCCCGAGGGCCCCTGCTCACCGCGGGAGGATGTAAACCCCTTCCTCCTGCCCGTTTCTCACACCCCCGTTATGTCTAGCAGCCACGGAGCTGAGGTCACTTTGTCACCCTCCAGCCCCTGTTCAAACCTCTGCTCAATTTGGAGAGGCCAGGCAGGAAATTTTGGAAGAAGCAGGGAGAGAAAGATGCAGCAAGGGAAGTGTGAAGTGAGAAACGCCCCCGTGACCCCGAGAGCTCTTGGGTGGCCACTGAGAAAGGAAAGTGCTCCGGTCCCGGCAGAAATGAGCCACACCAGTGAGATGGCTGAAGATGCCACAGAAAGTGCTCTCCTTTCACGCGGGTGTTGACACAGCTTGTTGATCTGTCCTCCTCGCAGGTGAAGCCGTTCACCTGGCTCGGGATTTCGGGTACGTGTGCGAAACGGAGTTCCCAGCCAAGGCGGCGGCAGAGTACCTGTGCCGACAGCACTCCGACCCCACGGAGCTCCACACCAGGAAAAACATGCTGCTGGCTACCAAGTGAGTACAGACGGCAACGAGCCACCGCTGCGTTAGGTGCCCGCGGCCTGGGAGGGCGGCGTTAGCCCCGAAAGCTCACTGGTGTGCGGGGAAGGGATGGCCTCACATGCTGCACGCAGACCTGACCGATGCGCGGCGGCGAATAGTTAGCGTGGATCGAAGGGCTTGCTCCGACACCGGAGAGCTTAACCTAACCCCAGGGAGCATTTTGGCGCTGTCACACGTGCCCCTTCGAAGCAGCGGCACCCGCACCGGCTCCGACTGCACCCAGGGGCTTTCCCCAGGTTGGAGCCGACAGCTCCGGGAGGGGAGGCAGCTGGTCGGGCAGGGAGCAAGAAAAGAACCCCCCAAACACACCTTCGTCCCCGCAGCTCCCCAACAGCATCGATCCTAACGCAAACCTCTCTCTTTCAGGCAAATTTGTAAAGAGTTTGCAGATTTGATAGCGCAGGATCGCTCGCCGCTGGGGAACAGCCGCCCCTCCCTCATCTTAGAGCCCGGTGTCCAGAGCTGTTTGACTCATTTCAGCTTGATAACCCACGGCTTCGGGGGCCCAGCCATCTGCGCAGCGCTCACCGCCTTCCAGAACTACCTGGTGGAATCCCTTAAGGGGCTGGATAAAATGTTCATGAACAGCACAGGGAACGGGCACACGGCCGGAGACTCCAAAGCGTCAGAAAAAGAAGTGAAGCATCGGAAATAACGTGCTGTCTCCTGTCCTCTCCCCGGCGGGAGCTTTCCCCGGTGGTGATAGCACTGGGACGGGGGGGGAAAGATGATCCAGTGCACTGTTTTCTGAACTGCTACATTTGAACTTGGGATGAAACTCAGAAAGAAAAGACAAAAAAGAAGATTTAAAGAATTTAAGAAGAAAACAACTCTAATGGACACAGTGAGATTGAGAAAATAAATAAGCCAGGTTAATGGCTTTGGGGTTTTGCCTTTTTTTTTTTTTTTTTTTTTAAATTGTGGATGCAGGAAGCCAAGTCATGTGCAATTTTATTTTGTTTTGTTTTTTAAAAACCCATAGCGAAATCCTGACATGCTCCAGGAATTTGTTCCAAGTGAAAAACTGAGAAGAAAGAGCAAAAGCCTCATCAATGCAAGAACCAGAGGCAGGAGCAGCAGAGGGCAGGGAGTTGGAGCGCTGGCTGCACCTGGATTTATCCGCTGGTTTTGACAGGCAAACACAGGAAACCTTCCTATTTCCCCACCTACAGCCCAGTCCTAAAGCCAGGCCAAGAAAAAATTGCCAGCAGAACTGCTTTGGATTTAAAGCGGTTTCAGACTTCGTTTACAATTTGCGAACTGAGACTCAAGGTGGATTTTCCCCGGGGCCGAGGAGCCCTGAGCCGTACCGCGAGGGGAGGAAGAAACCGCGCAGCCGATGGCTCCCAGGGCAGGGACCGCTCGAGGAGAGCCCTCCCGACTGCCACGGTCACACCTGGGGATAAAGCAGGTTAAGTTAAACCCGGGACTAATTAAAACTCCGCAACCTACAGATAACGGCACACAAGTTTCTAAAATTAATAATGATTAATAAAGCACAAGGAGCAGAACTTGAACCAGGCCAAACTGAACTGTTCTAAATCTGTATATATTTATTTATGTGTAATTAAAATCTGAAAGTTTTAAAATGTCCAGTGCAAGTTATTTATATCACATTGAGTTGGTTTTTTGTTTTGCCTTTTTTTTTGTTTTGGGGTTTTTTGGGTTTTTTTTGAAAGATGAAAGTCTTTGGAATTTCTGCCATTAGAAATGGGAATGAAGTTTTGGATACACAAAACCGTAGCATGGACAGGCTAGGCTGTGATGATAATGACTATAGAAGTTCTGCAGGATTTTGTACTTGCTGTTGTTTCTCTTAATGCTGCAATAGATGTACCACACCCACACCACAATGTCATTCTCATTATCTTAATAAACCTCTTTTTATTTGAAGAAAGCACCTCCATCGTCTTTGTGAACAAGGATCCTTCTGCCCCTGTGGTTGTACCTTGAAATATTATATAGATTTAAGGACCGATATCCTTTCCCGGCTGCCGTTTGAGCGACCTGCGCAGTCAGAGCGCTCAGGGAACGGCGGGGGCTGGCGTTAACGCCCTGACCTCGCAAAGCCATCGCAGCCGAGCCGGCCGGCGCCTCTGGTAATGCTGGGGACGAATAGTGAAATGACGCGTTCGCAGATGTTTCGGAACCACTCAGGATAGTCAAATCTAAACCTGTCTGTGAAGAGCTGCAGAAGGACCTCATGGCATCAAGGCAGACGAGTGATAAATTAGCAGATAAAATAACCCTGCTAATCTATATGCAATGAAGCTCTCTAAATTAGCTGATGTTTGTGGCATTATTACGGATAGGGCTCTGAAAACGGCCACCTCGTACTCACAGGAGGTTAGAAATACAAACAAAACTGTGGGATCTGTTAGAAAAGGATTAACAAACCAGAAAACAGATTATAGTGCGTGACATACGCGTGCTTGCGTGGTATTGCTCTGTCTTGAATGCCGCTTGCAGATCGGGCCAGCCCAGCTGGTAAAGCCGCGGGGAAAGGCAGCCAGGGAGCTCCGAGGTGGGAGCTGACTCTGTGCGAGGAGAGACCACGGGATTAGAGCTGCCCCACTTGTAAAGGGCACGAGGAGTCGATGACAGGAGCGTGGAAAACAAGGGTATAAAGGAATACACACGGGGAACGACGACACTAAAACTCGAGGCAGGATGCCAGATGAAAGAGTCGGGAAGCAGGGTTAAGTAAATGAGCAGGAGAGGAGTAAGGAGCCTCTTCCGTGGCGTTTCACGGAAGCGGACGCGTAAATGGCTTTTCACGAAAGGGAAGAGGGGGCATTTCAACATATTTGCGATCTTCCCCACACATCCGCTGCTTGTCCCAGCTGGAGCCTGGGCAGATGGAGATGGACCTGGGTCGTTACAGCACTTGTTGCATTGGACCTTTCTCAGAGTCGTCCCATCGGTTTCCTCTGGAGGTTGCAGAATAGGCTGATGATAATAGAGAAATAATCAAACAGTCCCAAAAGGGACCGCAGGCTTCTGGAGGGATGTCCTTTTTAGAAAAGTGTGAAAGGAAACATTTTATCTACTAATATAGTTTGTGGGGATGGCTCAGAGTCAGAAACTTGCATCTAAATACTCCCTTCAAAAGCTTAGGGATGCATTTAAATTGGGAATGGGATTGGAAACGTCCCTTGCTATGAAGTTCGTGAAAGCAAAGACCTAAATGACAGGCTCTGCAGGTCTGGTTTTGCTCTGGAGCTTCCCAAAGGAAGAGCCAGGGAACAAGGAGGAGCCAGGGAGCGGAATGGAAATACTACAGACACATTAGAGGCTTGTTTACACTTCAAAGCTATTCTGGATAACGCAGGGTGTGAGCCGAAAGCATAAAAACTATGCTTATTTAAAATTATTCCAAAATAGGAGTGCCCTGTCCTGCATCAGCATAATCCATGTTTAAAATGGATTATGATAAAGGAGAGCAAGGTGCTTTTGTGCTGCAATACAGGTTTCCCAACTACATGGAGTTATCCTAATAACTATCCTGAAATAATTCAATTTGTAGACATCCTCCGGTGCACGGTATCAGAGAAGAGCAAACTACACTCCGATACATGATGAAAGTGTGTGCGCGCGCACTATAATATACAGGCGTGAAGTATAATTTCATAATGCAATCATATCATGGAAACCTGACTTTGTTAGGGCACTCTCTGAATCTCAAGGAATTCTTAGACACCGCAGCGATGAGCCACGCAGACAAAGACTCAGGATATGCCTCCAGTAATTACATGCTACGTCCATCGGGTGGAAAGATACCTCCCTCCTCATTTTCCTCTTTGGGTAACTGCAAGGCTCTTGAATGTTTTATGAGGAACAGTCTGGTGCCTGAAAGACCAGGATGCTGCCAATTACCTTTTAATTGGGAGGAAGTTTGATGATTTGGAGTCACTTGTTGATTCTGCCACAGATGCTTAAGACCGACGATGGACGTGTCATGTTGGATCAACTTTCTAAACCCATCGAGACTTCCCAAAATTGTGGACGCCTTCCTTTCTGCAGGCGCACAGAGATGAGAGCAGAGCTTCCCGAGGGTACACCAGGCCAATTCTTGTTTGTCTGAGTCGGTACTGGAGTTCCCCTCCCTGCCCACTGTCAAACAAGGCCATCCCCTGATGCGTTCTTTGCCTTTCCATCCTAAGAGGAGGGGAAAAAAAAAAAAAAAAGGCATTTTACACAATTCAACCCTGATATAAATTCCCACACTGATTACTAGTATTATCGTGGGAAAATACGTGGGATTGTGTCAAAGAGTAAAAATAGATTCAGACTCATGGTTTCTATGCTTGTTATAGAACACTCTGGAATGTCAATCCTAAAGGGGAATTGAAAAAAAATCTTTTTTGAATTAATTTTGAATGAATGACAAGTCCAGGGAAACCACATGACAAGCCTTGACAAGTGAGAATGAGGGAAAACATTAACAAAAACTCTTCATTCCCTAACAGTCAGCTATCCCAAGGGTAAACTGAGGTTAACACTCAACTCTGACTCTATACTGTATCATTACCGTAAACAAGCAGAGGTTGTGTTGGCATTCTGCACGGCTTCGAACAGACTAAATAATTACCTTTAAGCAGGTTACCTTAAAAGCAACAGGGTAATAATAGCTCTCGGTACTAAACTAACACAATAAACAGACTTTGCTGACCTGTAGTTAATGCATTCCTTCATATATAAGAGTCCATGAAATTCCATACTTTACATACAGCATCCGAGATGCCACACCAGCAGTCGGCGAAGGAAGTTTTTCCTGTTAGTGCAACTGAATCGAAACACCAAAGCCAAAACCATTTTCAAATCAGGCAGTAAAAGAGATGTTATTTGCAAGGGCGACAAAACGCTTGCTTCAGAGATTATTGACTTAGCAGCCAGGACGGACAGCGCAGTGTCACACGCAGCGTGCGACTGCAGCCTTAATTATCCTAACAGACTTCGGGAGAAACAGTCTAAGCCCAGCCGTGACACAGAACCTGAACGTGCTGAGCCAGAAGGTAGCATTTCGGTCTTCCTCCCTGACCTCCTTTATAGTGCAAAGAATTCCCACTGTGGCCACCTGAGCATCACTGCATTTTCAATGGGATACCATAAATAGCAATAATAATTCCAGACACTGAATATACACCCAAGCTTTGACCCCATAATCGCAGTGCCGAAGCATTCCAATAGCCTCCCTGAGGCAGGCAGGCAGGAAAAATGATGCCAGCGTTATTCCGGATGGCTCCTCTGTATGTTGTTATCCTGACACCTTCAGATACTTCTCATTTGATTCTTCTCGGCAGAGAAAAGGCTAAAATTACATCCTGCAGTCCAGAAGTATTTCCCATAAGGATAGCTTCATTTTAGTAGCAAAGGTTATAGCCAAAGAAGATTTCTTAAATGGAGACAACAGCTTTTTTTGGGGTGTGAAATGAGTTCAGAGAAAGATCAAGCTACGGCTCCAAGTCAGGAAGTTCTGCAGCGTGTCAAGATGTGTCTGGATGCAACAGTCTTCTCACCCCATGATGGGGCTGTCCGTGCAGAAGCGCCTTGGGTTCCCCTCCTGAGTTTTTCCACTGTACAGAGCCTTAAACTGGTTACAGCATCCCAAAGGATCCCCACGAGGCAGCATTTTCTTGCTGTGACTGAATGACC